ACCCACACCCACACCCACACCCACACCCACACCCACACACCCACACCCACACCCACCCACACCCACACACCCACACCCATAGTTTGATGATAATGATGATGGTAATAGTGAATAACGATGAAGAACATCAAATAGATTTGTATTGCCACGATGAACAATTGAATACTAGAATATATAAACAGTAGAAAAAAATCATGTTCAAAGCATATTACCAACCAGAACAAAATATTTAGCTTTATCAAGATTCTCTTTTGTAATTGATGTTGAAATCGGAAAACATTCATCATTATCTAAATAATTCAAATTTAAATAGAAATATAATCCTATAATCTATCGTTTTATTACCTGATCCAAAAGTAATTACATTGAAATAAGTATTTTTGTCGTCAACTTTCAAATTCGTAAGAAACAAATGTACTAACTGTTTAGCTTGTTGTACATGAATACTATCCATTGAATTGGATACATCGATAATAAAAATAAGTTCAATTTGTTCGTTTAAATTCGTCAATGTTTCGAATCGTGGATAAAAGGTAAGCATACATGCTTGTGAATCTTGATTGTTCGATGTCGTTGTTGATATTTCATGTTCATCATCGAATAACAATATTTCATTTGATCGTCGAGGTAAATTAGCACTTTTGAGTGTAATCGAAAGAATAAAATCTCGATCAAGTACGATATTATCGACAAGTTCGACCATAGCTATACAATTAGTTAATTTTCGACGAAGACGATGTGTCGGAGAAAATAATTTTAATATTTCGTATGGCATTTGAATTGATGCTTTGAAACTGAACTTAACTTTTTCATCAATAATATTGATAGATCTTACCATCGATTGATCTTTTGTTTCCATCGCTTGTTTCGACTGGCATGAAGCCATTTTGGCTGGAAGTCGAAAGATAATATCACTGCTTTCAATTTCTAACTCGGCAACATATGTTATCTTGATGATAACTTCATTATTCGCTGGTAGATTACCAACAGCTATACTAAATACTTGAGCTTGCTCTTGATGCATCAAATATGCGCCATGACCCATTTCAATTGCTTCGCGATACTCTTTTTTTGGCTTGTTCTTTCTTCTTGATAACGCCTTTAATTATTTTATTATTGATATGTGCTTCAAAACTTCAAAACCACAAACCGTTGAATTTTTATCAAGAGGAAATACATATTTAGTTTCGATCGGTATCGAATTCATATTATGATAGACTTGATACAGAACGACCTTTTCATTGAAAATAAAAATAATGATCTGGTATTAATTAAATAGCACGATAAATATGATTATTTCAGCTGTGATATCAAGAATTTGTGTACGAACATGAAATGATTTAAGTGGTACAACTTTTCCTGATGATGCACATACTTAACCATAGTCTTGTTCGGCAACTTCAATAACTTCATCGTCAATGGTCATAGGTACTTCAACTAGAATTTAATAGATATGGCTTCATGAAATTTTATTTGAATAAAAAAATTCATTATTACTATGTTCACTTAATTTTAATGCATATTGATCATGATGAACAACGGGTAATCGTTCGAGTTCAATGTTTAGAAGATCGTTTGGTACCCATGCAACTTCTACAATGTACATTAAACGTTGTTGACCAAGTTGATAAATTACATATTCATTATCCTATAATAAAAATGAGATTGGTGATTATACAATTCAATTTATTCGAAGAGCAAGAGAAATCCAAGTGTTTCGTGCCAAACTCACAGACCCGGATTAAACACAAAACTCAAGACTTCACCTAGTAATATAATGAATTTTCACTTTGAAATGTATGAGTTCGATTCGCTTCAATTATATGCATTCTAATGAAGTTGATTATGACTACCTCGATATAATTAAAAATATTCTTTACATAATAAGATCTTTCAAATGTGGATGTGAACTTTTTCTCTATCTGAATCTATATTTAGAACCTAAAATAATTAATATATATAAAAGCGTATGTAGCGCATCGTGAAAAAACACTGGATATTTTTCATATAATTATACAGCTTCCATATGTTAATAATTTCAATTTTAATCTATCCATTATTTTCCACTGTGCTTGAATAAAATGTCTGGGAGCTCATACAGTTCATCTATAGAAGCATCCGACTTTGTAATCAAGTTTATGCTGAGTACTAAAATTAGAAGTAACCTATAAAATGTATCTGAAATTGTAGCTCGCTTTTCTCATACACAAAGAATCAACAAATGGGAACAATCTATTCAGAGACGTAAAGGAAAATCGAAATGCTTCATATCGGGACAACATTTATCTTTCTATGTTTCGGTTGGATATTTTCGTTTTGTCTCCTTCTTTCAAAGACTAACAAGAGATATTGCAACAAAAAGTACATATGTGACTTCGACTGATTTATTACTAGGAATGACGATGAGAGAATAAGGGTGTGGGTGTGGGTGTGGGTGTGGATGTGGGTGTGGATGTGGGTGTGGGTGTGCCTCTTTCTAACGGCATCTATTCACACCCATACCACTCAAACGCACACCCACCCACACCCACACCCACACCCACTCCCACACACACCCACACCCACACCCACACACCCACACCCACACCCACACCCAC